TAAGTGTATGTTCAATTTTATAACAAACTACAGAATTGTTTTCTACAATGGCTGTACAATCCCACCAGCAATGTATGAGAGTTTCAGTTTCTTTTCCTACTTCCCAGCATTTAGTATTATTACTAAATTTAGAATTACTTTGTATTTTAGCTGTTCTAATGTATTTATAGTGATATCTTATTGTGGTTTTCGTTTGCATTTCTTAATAAATAATAATATTAAAATCTTTTCATTTGCTTATTTCTCACCCATATTTCCTCTTTGGTGGAATACTTGTTCTTTTTCTAATTGGATTATTATTTTTTTACATTGATATTTGAATGTCTTTACTTATTCTAGATATAAGACCTCTGCCAGATATGTGATTTACAAATATCTTTTCTCCATATGTTGCCCTTCTTTCTATTAGCAGAGTCTGTAATAATGCCAAAGGTTTACATTTTTATTAAATTCACTTTATCAAATTTTTTCTTTAATGGATTGTCCTTTTGGTGTTATGTCCATGAACTCACTGCCTAACTCTAGGTCTCAAATATTTTCTACTGCTTTTTAAAAAATTTTTATATTTTACATTAGCAGTGTCTCAAAACAAATAAGTTATGAGGCAATATTTACAGAATTTTATTTGCTCTTAAGTAGTTTAAGGTGAAACTTTCAAAGTAGAAAACAAGTTTGGAGTGGGAAAAGTTCATGACATAAACGGTTATACAAATTGGCAGGTATGATATGGGAAAGTCTTGAGGTGCTTTGTGATGAGAAAACCATTGCCTTGATAAGCAAGCTATTTGTCCAATCAAACAAACTGTTGCCCTGATAAAGCATCCATTTGTCCAGATGAACATAACATTTTTGTTTATATAAATTGGCTTGACACAGTTCCCTGAAGAAACAGTGAAGTCACACTAATGGAGGTGGTCTCACATGCTCATAAGAAAGGATTGTTAAATTTTACGTTTGTTTAAATGAATTTATTTAACATTCCTTTATTGTGTACATATTGTGCGCTCCATACTGTGTTAGAAGATTAGACAAGAATCAAGAGAGAACACAATGGCTCTTCTCTGGAACATTCAGCCCAGTAGAAAGAGAAGACAAGATAAAGTTTTAATATACTGTGATATGTGCCAGGATGAGAATTAATGTATTGCACAGTTGTTAGGAAGGGGTGAGTGGCTTCAGAAGTCACGACATACTTAAAATATAAGAAGCTTCTTGAGCTGGAAATTGATCATCAGTAGGTAAAATGATAAACATCACAAAAATTCAAGGATCTGCCACTTAAGTGAAATTTCTAGAGGTTCAGTGATACACAGAATGTGGAGATGTCTTCTCCAAGGTGAAAGACATGTTGCTTCACACACACCACATAGTTGGCATTCTTTGACCTGTTTACAGTGTCACCTGTAAAGCTGCCAGTTTTGAATGGGGACCAGAGCAACAAGAGGCTCCACAACAAGTTCAATCTGCTTCACTACATTGGTCTTATGATTCAGCAGATCCAACAATGATACTTGAAGTTGCTGTGGAAAATAAGAATGCTGTATGGTGACTCTGGGAAACATCCATAGGGGAATCATAGCATAGTCTCCACACCACAGCAGCTGGGAGAATATATTCCCTTTTCTACAGATAACTATTCTTCTTTTGAAAAAATGCTTCTGGATTGCTAATTTACCTTGGTGAAGTCTGAATGTCTACTTTAGAAAAATCAGATGACCATGTAATCTCACCTTCCTTCATTGAACCAAGTGTTGCCTGACCTACTTAGCCATAATGGTGGGCATGTCCAGGAGCAATCTATCATCAGGTAGAAATGATTTCTAAGAGTTTACATTCAGGTAGATCCAGAAGGTACAAGTTAGTTGCTTGAGTAGGTGGCCCATATTCCTTTGACATCAACTTTTCTTGTATTGTCTCTTTTCATTTAATCCATTCCTATAGTCTCCTAGGACATTTCTTATTCTCAAGTGGTACATTTCGGTTGTCCAAATTATCTAGAGGGAAAGATAACCAGAGATGTCGACCTACAATGATTCATGGGAAGTTGTTAATGTTTTGGTTGAATGGCATGACACTTGAAATAGGATTAGAAGAGAGAGAACACAAAAATCTAGGAAAGAGTTATCTTGATGGACCTCTCAGAATTGGCAGACTATCAAGATGGTTGTACTCCGTGTGAAACTGACCAAGGGAAAACAAATGCAGTAGAAGCTTTTATAGTGGACAAAATGATGCACTCTACAGATGCATCAACATCTTTTCCTGGTTATTCTAGAGCTTGCTCGATGACCACATGGACAAAGCGGCCTTGTTGGCAGAGGCAGTTATGTGTGAGCTCAAAAGTACAGATTTCCCTTTATAAAGGCTCACTTGGCTAATGTTGCTGCTGAGTGCCTAATCTTTCGACCACAGAGACTAACTCTGAGCTTCTTATATGGTGTCATTCCCCAGGACCCCCACCAGACACTGGATAATAGGTCGGCTGCACCAGATCTCTTTTATCATAGAGATGTCTGATATCTGTCCTCACTGGAATAGACTTATATACTTGCGTATGTGTTTGTCTTCCTTGCTTGTAATGCTTCTGCTGGCATCATCTTTATAAACTTATGGAATGCTCAATCCACCATCGAGATAATCTCCATAGCATTTGGGAAAATGAAAGAACAATTTTTACCGCAAAGGACTGTATCAATGGGCATACCCCCATGGAGTTATGTAGTCTTACCACAAGCCCCATCACCCTAAAGTGGCTGGCCTGTTGAATGTAGAATGGTTTGTTGATTCAGTTATGGCACCAGTTTGAAGATACCCTAAAATATGGGGTCTATCTTATAAGATGCAGCATATGCTTTATATCAAAGACTATAATATAGTGTTGTCTTCCCCATAGCCATGATGCATGGGTCTAGGCATCAAGGAGGTGGCCCTGAGGGTGGATCCCCTCACTATTTTTACCAGTAACCCACTAACATAATTTTTGTTTCCTGCCTTTGTAACTTTGAGCTGTGTGGGCTTGAAGGTCTTCTCTAAAGGGAGGGATTCTTCAACCAGAAGACCTAATAATGGTTCTACTGAACTGGAAGATGACACTGCCATGTGCCCGTTCTGGGCTTTATATGTCACTAAACTGACAGTATAAAAAGAATTTACTTTATTGGCTGGAGTGAGTGATACCAATTACTATGGGAGAACTGGGACGCTCTTACATAACAAGCCTAGAGAAGGCTATATCTGGAACCCAAGGGATTTTGTAGGGAGACTCTTGGCACTTCTATGCCCAATAATAAAAGCTAATGGAAAATTACACCAAGAAATAAAATGGCAGGGCCATTGAGGACTCAGACCCCTGGAGAATGGAGATTTTGATTATTCCACCAAGTAAATAATCCCAATCCCCTGATGTTTTGGCCAAGGGCAGGGGAATATAAATAAGTAATAAATAAAGGAAGCTTGTCTATGTTAATTGCAGCCCATGGCCAAATGTGCAATCACGGAATGTAGTAGTTTTATATATTTTCTCTTTGCTCATTATATGTATGTGTTCCTTTGTATATGCTGCCATTTACTTCTCTCATTTTTACCATATTATTTTATATATAAGATATTGAAGGTTAGCTTTATAATTTAGTCTGTATATACTAACACATTCAGTGGGACATCTCTGAATTTTAGATGTGACTTATATAGCCAGAGATTCACAGTGACTGCTGAGACTGTGGATATCTTATTTTGAGGGAAAGATTGAGAACTTCATTTCCTAAAAGAATAGCTTCAGTTTGTTAGATAAAAACACAGAGTGATTTCACTGTTGCTTGTCAGTTCAACCGTCTATCTAGGAGTGAGTTTGAAAGACCAGCAACCAGATTACCTCTCAGTTCCAACCCCCTCTCCCCCACCACATTACTCTTTTTGTGATACTGGATTTGGGTCCTGTAAAAATTCCTCCTCTGCCAGCTGGCATGATAATTAACTTTGTAGGTAGAGGAGCTAGAAGGACATTGCAGAATAAAGAGGCTTCTCTTCCTGGTTTTGGTATGCTTTCTGCCCTCTTTGCTCTGCAGTGCTTGACCTGTGGGACACCCGGTGTTACTCCCCTCCAGCAAGGTTCACGGTAGTCCGACAGGTGGTTTCTTGGTGGGTCTCACAACCACCTCACTCAAGTTCAGCAGCACTCCTTTACTGACTTTCTGTATATTATACTGGAACTCTGGTAGGTGTTTTGTTGCTTGTCGGCCTTTTTCTCTGGCACTTCAGCAAACTTCCTCGCCATCCAGCGGACTACAGTCACACACTCCCAATGAGGTCTCAACCGTAGCCTTGGCAGGAGGGAGAGAGAGTGTGTTTATCCCAATGTGTTTATTGTGGGATTCCACATTAGTTCTAGAGATGAGAGTTTCCCCCTACATGTGCTATTCCTATATTCTTTGGAGTCATTTTTACCCATTAGTAATAACTTATTATTATTTTAATAGATCTTTATAATCCTCGTTCAAGTGACTCCAAAGTCACTAGTTTTGTTGCTTTTTACTTCTGGCTAGACGGTGGCCGAGATAATAGGAGTCTGTAAAGTACATAAGAAAGACATTAGATGCAGAAATATGAATAATTACAAGGCGTGAAACAGCATGGTACTAAGGAACTGGACTTAGGGATGTGGTGCTGACCATGTGAAGATGTGGTATGGGGTGGCAGAGCAAAGAATGCTTTTTGTGTGTACTATATAGCTTTTATTTCAAAAGTATTTTTCCAGATACTACTAGACCAGAAGAAAAACACTATTTTTAACACTAATTTAAGTAGAGTAGGTAATGAGAGCTTTCTAGGACACATTTTTTTAGTTCATCTATAGCTAATTGACAAGAAGACATCATCCCTACATGATAAACTCAATATCAGTCTCTAGAGAAAGAATGCCCCACTGTGACCATGTGGAGAGCTTACAAAGAAATATTTTCTGTAACTCCTAAAAGGTTTGTGCTCTGCTTCCCTTGCAAAACCTGCTACTGTGCCACTCAGAGCACAGTAGTACGTGGCTGAGTCTTCCTCCTGAGCAGATGTTTTCTTCAGATGGAAGGACGCCTCCCTTTTGTTAAATTCAGCCGTGAAACCTTTGATACTCTCTCCAGAGATGTGTTTAAGGAGTAACTGGAGGCTTTGTTTGGGGTACTGGACATACCAGAAGAGTCTAGGACTCCCAGAATATGAGTAGTTGCATTTCAGCTGCACTGGCGCCCCTTCAGACACAGAGAGGTGGTCCTCGGGCTGAGTTACTATCTGGGCTCTTGTTCCTCCTGTAACACGGATTCTGGATTAGGAAGAGTCTTACAGACTGAGGAGGATATTTCATTAAGGTTTTTCTAAATCAGAAGACCTTGGCAAAGTAAAATAGAAAGAGACTTTACTCACTGAGTGTAAATATCATCACAAGCACCGAAGTGAGGGTGGGCTTCATGTCTGAGCAGTGGGGAAGCAGGCAACTCTTTACTAGAGGTCTCTTCTTTAAACAATTCAGCCACATAAACGCTCTGACAGAGCAGTGGGTGAGTTTACCCAACACTGAAAGCAAAAAGCTCCTCCTCAAAGGACCTGGTTGTTTTTGGCTTCCTATCAAGTTCAATTTGTGTAGCATCTCCCTCTAAAGGTCAAACCTGATATTACAGATAATCTTAGGCTTCAGGAAGCCTTCAAATTCTCAAACAGAATGGAGAGCGTTAAAAATTAAATAAATAAATAAAAGACAAAGTGTAAAGCTATACTAATTGAAGAAGAATGTTACTACAGAGGTCCACATATTCAGTCCAGCGAAACAGAATTACATTCTTTATAAGTCCAAATATTTAAACATGTATAGAAATTTATTTTTTAAAATGGGGAAAAGATGTTAAATTCACTAAAATGTGCTACAAGATGAAGAATCCTTTAGAAGTTAACAAATAAATGTGGAGGCCTACCTTAACACCTGTTACAAAATAAATTTTAAAAGGGGGTATTATTTACTATTTCTAAATAAAATAAAAGATAAACTAGTTTTGTAAATTTAGAATGGTCACAATTTTCTAAGCATGGCAGTCACAAAACATAATATTAATTGATCACACTTCACAGAAATTTAAACTTCTGTACAGGTATTCTAATGACAATTTTAAATATTTTTAGATCAATTTATTTTCCATCCACCATCCGTGGTTTTAACCTTTTCCACATAGGAAGTGGCCTTTAGAATTTTAGTTCTACAAGTCAAAAAAAAAATGGGCCATACACAAAGAAACAATCATTTGACCCGGGAAGAGGACAATTCTGGAAACAGCCGATTGAAAATGTCACTAATCTCCTGTCCTTTGCCAAGGAGCTTCTCTGGCTACCAACCGGGCTATATTGAGAGAACTTAAGTGAGGTGCCCCATTTGGGGATCACATAAACCTGGGATCAAGTAACAAGGAACTCCAGGGTGAAGAGCAGAAAACTCAGAGTCATGGAGAGATAGTTTGTCCTGCAGAGATCAGTGAATCTCTCAAAAGAAAACTAATGATCTTGAGAGTTTCTCTCCTCTTGTTCCCAAATAGCTGGAAAGAAAGTAACAGATAGGTTGAGTCCTATCGTCCTTAAATGAGGTGTAATGCAAGGAGCTCAGGGAGCAAAGAGATTTTCCTCCAGTTTTTTCAGCAGGGTACCAACAAAGCTGCTGATGTCATCGCCCTGCCTGCTGCTGCATTGCTGACCACAGACGCAGAAATGCCCAGGTGTTTTGCATCCACAGGATTAAAGCGCCCTGGTAATCATGCATGTCAGCAGGGGAGAAAAGAAAGGGAAAGGAGGCCCGGCTTGGTGACTCAGCCTGTAATCCCGCGCTTTGGGAGGCCGAGATGAGTGGATTGCCTGAGCCCACGGGTTCGAGACCCGCCTGGGCAACTTGGTGAGACCTTAACTTTACAATAAAATTTAAAAAATTAGCCGGGTGTGGTATTGCATGCCTGTAGTTCCAGCTACTTGGAAGGCTGAGGCGGAAGGATCGCCGGAGCCCAGCAGGTCGAGGCTGTGGTGGCCGGGAGCAGCCACCGCACTCCAGTCTGGGCGACAGAGCGAGACTCCGACTAAAAAAAAAAAAAAAAAGAAAGAAAGGGAAAGTATACCTCCGAGACAAATGAAAGCCTCAACTGGATCATGTACAGCCTGAGAACATTATTAAGGTCAGTGACCCAATTTCCTCAGCAGAGAAAAATCGGACACATAGTTTGAAAAGTGATTGAGAATTCATGTGTAAGAAAGTTCTCACAGAGGAAGGATCCTATTGAATATACTGTTTATTCATTTTATTCTCTTAAAGGAGTAAATACAAGTCAACAAAATTAGGAGACTTCTGTAAAACCAGGACATATGGTCAGCATGGACATATAAAATGTCTCCAACAAGACACTGGTTGATAGAAGGAGAGATAGGACATGATGGCCACCTGATTCATCTCCATCTCCCTTCTTTTCCTGTTCCACACTCTCCCTGTTCACCTTGAGGACTCAATTCTGATCTGTGAACATGAGGTAGAGGTCACATTTTTTATTGTGGTAAAATGCATAGCATTAAATTTATCACCTTAACTTTTTTTTTTTTTTTT